TATTTAGCCTTGTCATGTGGTGTATACCGAGCAGAGGCCGGTGCCATTGCAGCACTATCTCTATCCTGCTGGAGCTGACGGTCTTTATCTTGTGGTGGATGAGAATGTGAGCAAATGATTACCTTATGTTGGTGCATGTACATGCATGCATATACATGTATTATTATTATTATATTATATTATAGAAATATTGTTTAAAAATATAAATGTGAAATATTATAGAGTGCAAATGCAGTACTACCATTGATGCTGTATAATATAACAGTGATACACTTATTTTATGATGTTGGAATGTGATGGTGTCTACAATGTATATGTGTACATATGTATATTCTTGTTTTGTTGTAGGGAAAGTTTCGTGAGGATAATTTCCAAACTGCCATGTCTTGCCTTCAAGAATCCGGTATAGGGAATAAGAAAGGAACTAAAGGTAGTGCACTCACTAAACTACATGTACAGCGTACAACGTACCATTCTATACATTTAAATTTGTAGCATTAAGTAATAACTGTCACACATACATTTAGATGTACATGTACTGTATGTTGCTTATCTAGTCTAGGTTCTTAGTTTTACTTTTTTGTGTAACACAACAACATCTCAACATTCCCTACTATCTCATTCTAGGTCCTTCAAATTGTTACAAAGTGGTGAAGATGATAATGGAGCGTAGTCTCCAGCCTGTCATCATATTCAGTTTCAGTAGGAGAGAGTGTGAAGCATTAGCTCTCCAAATGTCAAAGCTTGATTTCAACACAGCCCGGGAGAAGGAGCTGGTAGATGAAGTATTCACTAACGCCATCGACTGTCTCTCTGATGATGACAAGCAGCTACCACAAGTAAATGGCTACCTATAGCAGTACAGTAGCTTTCATGAATATACAATGTGCCGTATGGTGCTTTTGTATTTTGGCAATTTTGCTGTAAAGTTTGATTAGCAGTTTAATTTCAATTTGGCGATTTTGTGTATACATGTGCGCTAATTAGCATGTGTATTGATGAATGACGGTTTTAATATTGGCAATTTTGTTTGCCAATCATCAAAATCAACTTTGACACAAATGGTCTACTTACATGTACATGTGTAATTGTAGCTTTTACATGCACATGTACACATGTATATACACATGTACATGTACATGTAGTTGGTTAGTTAGTAGTATCAGAGGTGTATCCCCTGTGTATGTTGTCCAATGTATTTTTACAACCATGTACATGTACATGTACATGTATTGTATTTATCATACTACACGTAGCTGCAATTACATGTACATTGTACATGCATAGATATTACTCTGTTATCTACATGTATGGTGCATTTATGCTTGCATTTTTAAAATTAAAATCAACATGTATTCTTGTTTAGGTTGTTCATCTCCTCCCATTATTAAAGCGAGGCATTGGCATACATCACTCTGGTCTACTCCCCATCCTCAAGGAGACTATTGAGATATTGTTCTCTGAAGGACTCATAAAGGCTCTCTTTGCTACTGAGACGTTTGCTCTTGGACTCAACATGCCCGCAAGGACTGTGGTCTTTACTAATGCTAGGAAGTTTGATGGAAAGGACTTTAGATGGGTAATGAATGCTGCATGTACATGTACATGTACACAATTGCACACACAATATGCCATATAGCAGGAAATTTTTGTTTGCTTGGTCGGCCAAAAGTTTTAGCAAAAATTTTAGACAATAAAAGTTTAAAATGAAGTGTGCACGACTGTGTTAACGATTAATAATTGAAGTTAATTATAATGAAAATAAATTCAACAGAAGAAAATCTTGTAAGGCCTGCTTGGATGGACAATGAAATTTTATGGCAGCGAAAATTTGCTGCTATACATATGGTACATGTAAATGTACATGTACATGTATTACGCTATGCATGCAGATTTATCTTTTAAAGGGTAACTTCAGTGCATTTTTGAGATATTTTTTTATTTGCTTAATATGATTGCCTGACCATACTAATGATGTGTTCCAACTCCCATTGTCTGAAAAAAATTATTCACTGAGATATGAGCCTTCAAAAATGCCCATTTTTCCTTTCTGCCAGGTTACTTCCTGTCGGTGGGTGTGGCTAAACGTGACATCACTGGAGGGATAGCTGTAGCTAAATCCATTCCTTTATAGGGGGAAGTAATCCTTTATTCTCATGGCTTGTAATGTAATAGCACTAATTTAAACATTGGGATCATTAGCTTTCATTATTCTAAGCATAAAACTGTAAGAAAAGTACACAAAATAGCTAACAAGAAGATTCACCAAAGTGTGGTATTATGACTTTTTCTTGCAGTTGCATGCTTAG